TTTTGTAAATTATTTAAATGCATTTTTTTCGTGTTCAATTATTAATATCCTTAAATTACATTGATGCTATTATTATTTCATTATGTCATATTTTCATTCTTTTATTATTTCTGGTATTATTTCCATTCCTATTTTTATTTGAACCTAAAATATTTTTAAGATTATAATTCCTTTTTTTTCTTTTTCTACATCCATTTATTCATTGTTTTGTGTTTGATAAAACAATTTAATAAATGTGTATTGTTACAAATATATAAGTAAAATCTAATCATTATAAATATTATAGTTATAAATATTAAAGATACCACATAGATTTTGTTATTATAAATGAAATAAAAGTATACTTTTAATACACCTTTTAATATTATTATATTTGTATTTTTCTACTTTATTTTTTATTAAAAAAGAAATGATTATATTTATTTTTTATTTTTTCTTATTATGTTTATTTGTATGTCTTTTTGATGTTATGTATTATAAATTATTTGTTAATAATTTACAATTTCATTTATTTTATTCAATGAATGCAAATTAAATCACTTTATAATTTATGTTGGTTTAATTGTTGAAAATATGAGATATTGATACTTCATTTATCTTCATTAATAGTGCTTGTTATAGATTTAATTCAAGCATACTTTCATATATTTCTTATTGTTCATTATAACAATACCAAAACATTTTAAATTGAGATTTGAATTAATACATGAATATCATTTAATTCTATTGTTTTCATTATATTTTTTATTTGGTTATTATTAATTCCTTTCTTTTATTCTTGTTCATGATTGATTAAAATAAAATGTACCAGATAATTTGGTGATTGTATCAATTAAATTATACTCATTATTTCAATGACATTCAAATGTAATTTAATATATTTCATGATTGCAACGATTTACATTTTGAACTAATTGATGAGATTATATTTCATTAATTAAATTAATATTATTCATTCTGTTTTAATTTTCAGTTGATTTAATAACATTAATTTAAATTATTGAACAAGATTGATATTTGTGATACAATAATAGAGAATGATATTGTGATAATAGAAATAATAAAGAATGAAATATCAACACGTTATTCAAAGTTAACCATTGTTATTACAGTTTTTGATTATTACCATACCAACAATTAATTCACTTAGTAATACAAATGTTATTTGCCAATATTTCTTTTGATGTTATTTATAAAACTATTTATTATGTACTAATTTAATAAGTATATATTGTTTTATCTATTTGTTTTCATTTTCATTAAATAATATTTTATCATCATTACCATTAATTTGGATTGAGCATAATTGAAAATGAAAAACATTATAATTAGTCCCAGTTTCGTTATAAATATCATTGATTGTCTATCCTCTGATTTTAAATTTAATTTTATAAATCAAGAACATTATAAATGTTAACCAATCCATTTATTAATATTATCCACTAAATTTCATATTTAATAAATCAATATAAATGATAATAACACGATTCAATTTCAGTTTATTCATTGGTTCTTTAAAAGATGAATTTTACGTTTAATGAATAAAAACATAAATTAGGAATGGATAAAACTAAGCATTCATTAGATTTATCGAAATGAAATTGAAATATTCAATTATTTATTACCAAAAACAAAACAAGCTTATTATAAAAAAAGAAAATATTCTGTTTATAAGAATATAAATAATTTTATTTATTTCTCAATTTCTTCTTACTTCAATCTCTATTTTACCTCACCATATTGTACTGATGATATTAAAAATGAAAGTGATGAACCAGAACAAAAGGAATGTACATTAAAACAAATGTTAAATTTCATAAAATGATAAAATTTCTATTATAATTTAAAACAAATGTAAATAACATTCTCAATATTTGTGTTATTTGATTGTTAATATGAAAATAGACATTGATAAAAAAAATAAACATCACTAGAATAATAAAGAAGGTTATCAATCCGTCATTCATTAACGTTTCAAGATAATAAACGTAACTACAAAATAGCAATGAGTACGATATTTACAAGTGAAGAGAGAAAACAAAATGGTTTATCTCTACTAGAAAAATATAATGGAATTGATGATGAATGTTTTGAAGGAAGTAATGATCTTGTTGATATTAATATACCAACAACTATTGAGTGGATAGGAGAGAATTGTTTTAAAGAATGTACAAAATTAACATCAGTTACTATTCCAACAACAGTTACTGAAATAGGAAATAGATGCTTTAAAGGTTGTTCGTCATTAGTAACAATTAATATACCATCATCGATTAATAAAATAAGGTATGAATGTTTTAGTGAATGTACATCACTTGTTTATATTAAATTCCCAACATCAATTACATCAATAGGAAATGAATGTTTTAATAATTGTTACAATCTAAAGAAAATTAATATACCTACTTCAATTAAAGAACTTGGAATTAATTGTTTTAGTGGATGTTCATCATTAAGAAGTATTGAAAT